AGAGAGAGAGAGAGAGAGAGAGAGAGAGAGTTGAATTCCTATCCAAACATCGAAAGGTGAAAGTTTTTCAATTAATTCCTATCCAACTATGTATAATTGTTAAGAAGATAAATTATTACTTTATTATATAATATTCCCCAGTGAAAGTCTAAATTCTAGTTAAATAATTGCAATCACTGATAACCTATAGGTTACAAGAAACACTTTCAACCTAATAAAAGATTTATTTTTTGGAAATTTTAGAAAATTGTTTTTCTATTCAATTTGTAATTTACCGAATGTAAAAATCAAACAACATTATATCATGAAATTATCTTATCAAGAAATCTATTGGCAAAATCTGTATTCAAACGTTATATACCATGATGAATTCGCAATATTTTTGTATTGAATGTATCATATTCCATTTTTACAATAAATTCTTTGTTGAGAAAGAGGAAAAAAAAGTCAAAGAAATGGTTTAAAATGAATTGCATTATGTTGTGAAGTACATATAAAAACTTTCAATGATAAGGAAGGGAAATGATACAATCAGTATTATTACTTGAAGTAGTGGGTGATAAATGATAAGGCGATAAATTATTTGGATAGATGAACCTTATGCAAATAAGATAAAAATGGAAGCAGAAACACAAACGTACGCATCAGAATCGTGATATATCACAATGATAATACATACATCAAATATTTTCCGTCAAAAATAATCAGAGCATTAAACTTCCTCTAACATTAGCTTTGCTAAATGAGGAAGTGAAACAAACTAATTGAGGAATAGATGGATATATGCATATATTCATGTCTTATCATTTTAATACTTTGATTTAAAAAGAAGCAGAAATAGCAATTTTTACATTGTTGAACTTTGATGCTTTAAATGAAATATATCCTCAAAATAAATTGTCTATTTTATGTACTTTTTTAATGTTTATTTCTTGTTACCATAAATTAATTGGGGAAGTCCATGGTAGTCATTCAGAAAGGAGACAAAAGAAAGTGCGGTGATTGACCATCTGAAGTTGACAATGACCAATTCAGGCAATCAACAGAGTTAATCCTTTTATGACTAACTGCATGAAGCGTTGTCGAAGAATTCAACATTAGTCATCCAGCGGTCATTCAACATTCAAAGCAAATTGGAAAGCTACAAGAGTTCAATGAATAAACTAATCGATAATCAAAAAAAAAAAATAGGCGCTTTGAACTGTCATTGTCTCTTATTCGAACCTGATTATTATATACAACAAAAAATAAGGTATATATGATAACCAGTAATAATGATATATATATATAACGATTGAATGAATAATGGAGAAAATTTTACGGTTATTGATTAGTAATCCGTTGACAGCAAACTTTTTAAATACCAAAATAAAAAATGAAATCAGAGAAAGTGTCTTAATGAATCGAACGGATATATCGAGAATTGTAGTAGTAGACAATGTTCAACAGTAATTAATATTTTGAAAGTTAAACAAATTGAGCTACCAAATTTAACCTTACTCTCAGCATTCATTTAATCTACTATTATTATTTTCTCAGCAGTTTTAGCAAGGAAAGAGGAAATACTTCCACAACTAGTAGAATATTCAAATTTCAATTCATCAGATTTTGAAATGGAACTTTTCTACCTTGCAATACGTAAACTAATTTCGTGCTAAAAAAAAAAAAAATGTTTTTATCGCTATTGTTTGTAATTCCAAATAACAGAGCCATATTTTAGATTTTAATAAATTCATGATTTGGAACCATTTGTTACTTTTATATCCACTTAATATAATTCCTATTTGATTATTTAAATATTTTACCTGATAAGCAATGAAATCCAAAAAATCCGAGGTGCAACTGTTGGCCACCACATAGCAGCTCCGCTATTAATAATTATAATAATAATAATAGTAATAACGTTAGCTGGTGTTAATAACACGATCTCTGAGTGATAATAATAGAAAATGAAGCAGTAGTAATAGTACCAGTTAGCAAATGCTTCAAATTTAGTGCAAATGAGAAAGTTTTGTTTCTTCGGTTAGCTCAACAGCTTAATGGTACGAGAGGAAATGATGGAATTGAATGAATTGCTTCAGCAATAGTAACTTTTCGAGGCGCAAATGTGTTATGCATTGCTAACCAACGAAACTACATGAAGAGAAGGAGAAAAAGATGTGAGAATGATGAGGATTAGGATGAAAAATTCTAACTTTCACGAAAAACAAACATATGTTATATAGTTTCAGCAGTAAAGTAAAAGAAAAATTTCCTCTTAAATTTCATCTTTTGCACTTACTTTCTTCCACCAATACCCCCTCATTCTTATTACACTTTTCCATTTCTTTCACATCTTATTTTCATTTTAATTCATTCTATTCTGTCAATTTCTACTACTTTCATCACACTCACACCGTTCTCTATTGTGTAATAGAGATTGCTCTTATTTTTTTTTGCAAGCTAACTGTAACTGATCACTGATTAGTTTAAGATCTGTTGAATAATGAATATTACACTTTCATTTTGCTTTTATTTCGAAAAGAAATGATGATAGAGAAGGAAGTAAAATGATAAAAGAAGGAAGTTACTTCGTTTTTTTCAAGAAGACGAGAAAGGAGAAGAAATCTAATCATAAACAGCTTAAAAAGACTTCTTTGAAAGATGAAATAATATAGGAACAGATAAACTGTAAAAAAAATTCTGAAAATTTTTGGCAGTTCACAAACCATTGGCACACTTTTATTGAGGATGGTCGTAGTATGATGAAGAAAAAATTGAATAGCGCAAGTTAAGGGTTCGGGTAGAAGAAGAAGGAAAGAGTGAGAAATGAAGAAAATTAAAAATAAAAAAATACACGACATTGAAGAGAACGGAAGGTATCGACGGTGAAAATGTTGTAATGTTTGAAATCACTGTTTAACAAATTTCAAATGTCAAGCAAATCGACGAAATGCTTAAGGGATGAAGTAAATTTGGTAACGATGGTCAATATTGATGATGTTAATAATTAACGGACAAATGACAAGAATGACAACTTTGACCAGCATGGGAAGGTGATTGAAGCAATCAAACTACAAAAAAAAAAGATTGGTGTTCCATTAAAAAAATGGGGTTAACTCAAGGAAATAGATGGAATTTTAAAGATCGAAATAATAAAATGAAACAAGTAACCGATCATTAATTAACGAGCAGTGGGTCTTTTAATTATTAGTGTCTAATGACATTGTGGTCGACTCATATATTGCTATTGAAGAGTAGTGTAATGCTTTCAAGAATTGCCTTTACAATCGAATTTTCAGTGAAAAAAAATTTTATTCACTTCCAACAATTCCCAATTGTTCTAAAAATTATTTGGCATCGCATAAGGAGTACGCACATAAAGAGTAAGAAAATGTGATACTTGGCGACAAGAACTCGAGGGTAAAAAGATGATCATGTCTGATGATTGAAGATTTCTTCTCACCACATATCAACTCAAATCACACACTGCTAAAGATCTCTTTTTCAAAATCGGTCTTCACCACTAACACTCACCTAGGAAATAACCCAACGTACTGTTCGAAAGACTCCTCGCGAAACAAAAAAGGGGCTCAGAAACGAAACCTATATCTCTACAAGTAAACTTCTCAAACTTGATGCTTTGAAGAATGATCCGATTACCTCAATAATCAAGTCTTATCCACCATCCTATTTACTAGATCCAATTTTTCGATTCTGCATAGATCACGGAATCCATAACATTAAGAACGTTATGCATACATATTTGTATGTCTGCTTGTGCCATTTGTATTCAAGAAGGATCTTTGCCAGTACTTTCCAAGTAAACCGAAAGAAATTATCAATTCAAAATTACTCGAATCGTAACGTGATCATCAAAACTTTGTAATATTTATTAAATTAGCATTACGCATAGACCTGTCAGGATGTAATAATCTGCCTGTAATACCAATCATCACCTACCATAACAATAATTTACACCTATACTGAACCCTGCTCTCAATGTTCCTCAATAGGAAACATTAGGTATATCAAATGTCATAAATGAGGAAGACCAAAACAAATCGAAAACTACAATACCCGCAAAGATATACAAAAGACAATAGCACGATGTGGTACAGAAAATCAGAGCACGTTTAAATAAATTGAACTCGAAATAGATTAAACTAGAATTCGTTTGTCAAGTGATTATCATATGTCCCTTCAATATCTAAATATTCGTTTTCAGCAATATAAGATGAAATTAGACTTGATTAGCTAAGCGATTTAAAAAAATTTTATGCGGTTAACAGCATGGGTCAGCTCTTGAAGATTGATGCAGAACTATTTCTAGATGTAATCAAATACGCTGTTTTGAACAAACGGATAATTGCAATAATTTTCACATCAAGCTCTTCAAAGATGAAAAAGTCCATAAATAGCTAGGTTTAAAAACATGTAACTAATTATGCTTTGCTCTGTGACCTGCTGCATAAGAAGCCCAGCGATTAGCAGTTTCATTAAAAAATTCATCTTTTGTAATGATATAAAGCCATTTCAACAAATAAATATGCACGGAGTGATAATCCCAACGCGCTAAATTTGGTGCCGTTTTTAAGCCTAAATGTCTTAAATCATAAAAAGTTCCACTACCGGTATCAAAAAGAGGTAAGAAAATTCGTAAACTTTCTAAACCGAGAGAAAATAATTTAGCGGAATCGTTTTCACCATCATGTGAATTAGAAACTTGTGCAAAGTCATATAATCCAATGAGTGAATACAGAAAACCATTAAGCACAAATGTGCCTGGTGTGGTTGGATATTCCTCAAACCACGGATGACCGAAAAGTTCATTGAGTACTCCACCTTTTGCAGCCTCCTATAAACAAAATTCCATTTGGATATTTCAATTTTCGACACTAAAACTTGATAGAACAGGAAGTTAGGAAACTTCACTATTTTTTAAATGGGAGTAGCCATGATGGCAAAATTTAAAAACTTTGTCTATTTATGCTGACTTTCTCGTTTTAAATGTATACCACACGGATAAATTTCATGTTGACTAGAAATTTTTGAATTTAATGTTAAACAATTTACAGAAGGTAACAAGAAGGAATCCCTAATTTTCCTGAATATGAAATACATATACTATCTAGTAAAATGCAAAGTGTGGCTCAGACCTCATTCAATCCTTCTTAATAGATAATAGTCGATATCATTTATAGAAATTAATTCTTGATTATGAAGCTTAATAATACTAAGTAATAAAGACCCAATTAACTCACCGTTTTAAACAATTGGAGTGCACGCTTCGCAACTTGCAAATATTTCATATCATTTGTTACAACATAAGCCCGCGTAAGCACACTTAAAGCATGCCCCTGAGCCATTGCACTATGCCAGCCTGCTGGTAAAATCAAGCGTTTGTCAGCAATTGAGCTGTAAAAATATCTGAATCACGGGCGCTTTCATGAGAATATGAGCCACGATTCAAATATGCACGAAAATTGAAATTTAGTTTGGTGTACTTGCTTTAAAATACATACAAAGTCTTTTAATTTAGAATTCTAAAATTTACCGCTCAACAGGAACTGACCAGCCACCATATTCATCTTGATTGCTAGTTAACCAGTTAGCTGCCACAAGGAAAAGTTCAACATGTGCTGAAGATCGCTGCTTAAAATTCCGAATTACCGAACGTCCTCGAAAAGTAATAGAATCCAGAATTATATCTCCTGAAAATCATTTACAGCTTGGAAAGGATGACTAAATTGCTTTTGATAATTTCGCACTGAGAAAGAAATGCTATAAAATAGACGACTCATAGCCAAAGAAAGACCCTGATTATTTTCTCACTGTAATAGTGCAAGCAATGCTACAGCTTTAAAAATCTTCCGATGGAACGAAACTGCACTCTAATCTTTCAAGCAAGGATGTTCCTCAAACACTGGTTTTGTTCTATGCCGCAGTATCAGCAAAGTAAACTCATTCTCCTCTTGCCGCAAGTTTTCCACTACCAAATGTTTATATCAGGAAGATAAAAAATAAAGTGCCTGGATGCAAAAGGATGATTTCTTTCCTGTTCGAGGTTGATACGAGAGCACGACCAGCATCAACCAATAAATCACGACATATCCAACGCCATTCATTTGGATTTGGTTTTGCACCCAATGAATAATTATAATCAGTCTGAAAATTGGCTTAAAAATCTCATAAAGTAACGATACAGTTTGTCATTCGATGCATAATATATAGGAACTGAATTACTATGTTATAATTAATAATTTAAACTTTATTTTTCCAAAAACCGATCACTACAAAAAAATTTCACTTTGGAAAAGTTTAAACGACAATGAAAACCTCATAAATGCACGAGAGATGATGAAAAATGTAAACATAGAAGTTTTCTTTTGAAGGTTTTAAAATTACGGTAGAACTAGGCCAAAAATATTTAACAGTGCCTTAAAGTCTCAGTAAAAGATAACCCTAAGATAAGTTATCTTTCCATATATTATATATATAACAAACTTTGTTCGCTTTCTTGTTGTGCGAAACACATTGTTCATCATCGCTATGGACATAGTGTAGCAGCATAGTTTTCTGATTCTGCAAATCAAAAAGACATTTTATCACCTTTAAGGAAATATTAGCTTTGTCTCAGATATGGTCGAAGCATGGATCATATATCCATTCAAAAATTTAAAGCCGTGAAACTGATTTCCAGATAAAAATTTCAAATGCTATTTTTTGATCAAAGGGAAATTGATGGTTACATAAACAAGCTTTAAGCTGATCGTAAAGGAGCCATCCACATCAGCCAACCAAAAGAAGGAGAGTACCGGAAATGTCGGATCTCTATCAAGTGACAAAGAAACACCATGATCTGTAATCTTAGATAATTAAATCGTTTTTTGAAACAAAAACTACAGCAGGCAAAAGATTAAACCAACTACCTAGGTAAAATCCCGAACTTCAGACTATATGAACTAAGCATATCCCAAAACGGCATCAAGAGTAAGGAAGAACGAACAGACCGGCAGAGTTAATTTCAACTCTTGTGGAGTTCGTTTCCTCATCAAAACTTAATTTGAAACCATTTCGTTCAAGCGTGTTATCATTCCATTCTTCTGCTGTTGTGCCTTTTACAAATGCAATCGATGGCGGAGCTAAAAAATTCTAAATTATGAAAAGTTAGCATATTCCGAAGCCTAAGTTTACATTTCGCAAACACAAACTTTTCATCTTGAAAAACCTGAAGCATTTACCGGTTTTGAATCGACTGTAATGCTGCAAAGCATATTGAGCGATTTGTATGGGATAGAAATAAGGAACCGCTGACCATTGCGTTGATAGTGGTACGCCTGAATTCTTAACAGTATAAACAGTATAAAAAGTGACAATGACAAAAAAAAAGATAAATTATGACAGTATAAAATGACAATAAAATGAAGAGAGAAAACATTAAAAACAAATATAACAAGAAGCAGACCACACAGACTTTTTCTGTTCTTTATCCAACTGGTTCAAAAACCAACCGTACTGAGCACTAATGCAACGTACGCGATCTCTGGTTTCTACGCTGTATGATGCGAAATGACCAAAAGCTCCATGATAGTCATAGTCGATAAAATCTGGAAAACGTACTCGAGCATGAGATGTTGACCATTCGAAATGTCTCCCTATCGAACTGGATCCTAAAAATTACTAAAGGAGAAATCTACACATTAATTTCCTAGAATTTCCAATAGAAGATCGTTTTAAAACCCTTGGCTTTGTATATCTATCTATTCCCATAACACCTTTATAACTATGGGAGGACTTTTCTCTCTCCCACAATAATGAAAATAGTAACACTTTTGTATATTGTAACCTTTGAAAATCTTTCCAGAAACATCGAAATGTTTCCTAAGAAAAGCGTTGAAAGGAAAATACACTTCATTTGTAAATTTTTCCTCATAGCATTGATATGTTTTCTCGTTATCAACTATACAGGAAATTTCTTTTAAAACAGAATTTCTACTTTCACTTTCGTCGATCTGAAATTAAGCGAGGAATATAAAATAAGTTAAGAAAGAATACTAATAACATAAAAATATGGCGCCATAGAGAAGCATTTATCCTCTGCTAACAATAAAAAATCGGAAAAATAAACCACTAGCATATACAAAGCTCGAGTTTAAAATGTAAGAATTAAGCAGAAAACGAAAGTGAAATTTTTTAATGTTAAATATCGTTCCGCTCCTCTACTAGTTCTTGCTGCTGAAGTTCAGCTTTTCACGATAAAGGGGTTCACAATAATTCTCATACGTACAAACCAGTTCGTATATATTGTTCTAAATGTAAACTTCATGTATTTTGGAGACAGAAAAGATCAGTACCAGCGAATTTTCATTAACTCTTGAACTTTGAAGGGATTTCGAATTCCACTTAAATGAAGTAGTTGATAATTTAAAAGAAGAGGCTTACTGCTAAAGTACAGCATGGCCGCAAAGTTTCGGAATAAACAGTTTTGCGGGATGATTGTAAAATCCAAAGAACTGAAAATGTCGAAACTGCCAGTAACGTGATGGTAATATATCGTAATCTAAATCTTATCATAACAGCTTTCGTCGAGCAACAAAGTTAGCGGGCATGGATATCCTAAAGCCATCAGCTTACCCCATTTCTGTCGAAAATTTATTTGCTGTTCTCCAGCTAAAAATCATTTGTTCATTTTCAAGAAAACAAAACACAAATTGCTGAATGGTCTATCAGAATAAAATGAACAATAGACGATCTTAAAGGGAGATGAAAAGGAAAGGGAAAGAAAGATGAACAGAATAAAGCCGACATGCCAATACTATAATTCGATCTTTTTGTTAACACACACAGCTCTATGAAAGCCAATATCCATCAGAATCAACTGAAACTAATTAATTCGAAGATTTGCTAAATACAATTAACAAAAATTTTGCAGTTTGATGGATGAATTTAAGACAGAAAAATACAACACATACAAATGTTTCATTCATCAAGTGAAAACTGGACTTAAAAACTTGTTTTTGCTAATGTAACGAAGTAAAATGTACAATCTAGGGAATTCCTACAATATTTCTCCATAGTTGTTGCTTCTAATCATCTCTGATCTTCGTCCTTTTAAAAATCAAACGAAAGAAGCGAAACGACAAACGTCATCACTAGCACCTGCCCTAGAATTTAGAAATAACGCAGGACCACAACGAAAACTTTTATCCTAGTAGGATAAAGCGAACCTGTGGCTATTTTTGATCAGATGGTCAATGCATAAACGATAAATTAAATGAGTGGTTCTTATAAGTCGAAAAATGGTCTTATTTCTAATTAATAAGATTTACTTGCACGTATCACTTATTCTTTTTCACCTCAAGTCAACTATTTTTTAATCAAGCTTTTCCACACATCAGTCTAATTGATATGATAATATACCTCTCAGTTTGAATTTTATTAATTGCTAATAATGATTTATACCTTTGTTAAATGTTTTGTTTGTAGATTGTTGACGAAAAATTGGTTGGATTTGTATTTGGAGAGTACTGAACGCGGACTGAAGGAGAGTAAAATTAATGTCTATTGTGACAAGGATGACACTTACGCTTTGATATCTTCGTATAACAATTGAGATGGAGAAATGATTTAAGCTATAAGTATTCCTGCAAGCTTAAATTGAGATTTTCTATAGTAGCAATTTGCGCAAATTGGCAATATGCAACGAAAATGGAAACTGTTAACAATATGGTTAAATTTAAATTGAAAGAATTTAAGAGAGAATTACTGTAATGATATACATAACAGATACTGATAATTGCTCGGTTATTCATAAAATTGTTATCCATCTCAGTGACACAGTATTTCATGGAATCTTACATCTAATGCAAATAATGATTTGAATTTTTTAAGATTTAGGTAAAATAAAAGTTTCAATTTTAAATTGAATTTATATCGATGAAAATTGAAGATAAGCTTGCTATGAGAAATAGATGAACAATTGACACATTTAAAAATGACGATTTCAATCGATACACATACTTGTGCACAAGTGATGAAGTATTGCTGATAACAGTGATAATAGCATTAGTAGTTTAAAGAGTGAATAAAAGAAAGGAAATAGATAGATACGAAGTGATTCACAATTTGGCCTTCAAAAGTTTCCTTCCAAACTTCGTCTCATTCATCGTTTCCTTTAACCTAAAACTATTACAAGAATGTATTGCTGTTAAATGATGCTAACAAGAATAAACAAAAAGCATGTTAGATGATATATTAGGTACTTTATTAATTGAATTTAAGTTAATCTGAAGTAGGAGATTTCCATTTCAAGCAAAAATGAGATTTAAAAAACGTTGCGTGAATTGGCAACTTTGAAAGAATTTAAAAAAGATTCTAAAAAAAGAATTTTAAAAGTACTGTAAAAACAACAATGACCGTCCATTCTAATTTCTTTGATATTTTAAAAAACTGACTCAGAGTTCGGTTAAATTTTCTTGTGAATTTTAACGTTATAATAGTAAAATACAGTGCCATGAAAGTTTCAATCTACATATTTGAAGTTTCTTAGTATAGCTTGGCAAATTGTTCATCAGGTAGAGCTAGAATATCAACCCAAACTGTCACCAAACCGGACATTAATATAAGTCAGGAAACTGTTACAGTGATTTTGAGTTGTTTATTGTTGCTAAATTTGATGTAATTATGATAAACATTGCATCATTGCTTACAACCAAAAATTTCAAGTACCGCATAGATTTAGAAGATCAACGCGACAATTCCGATATCTAAATTTAAAATTTGTAATTTCTCGATAAAAATACATTTGCAACTATGACAAACATTTATTGCAAATAATAATAAATTAAAATGTGATGGTGCCTTTTCAGTTGACTAATTAATCATATTTTGTTTTTTTTTCCAACCAAAAATTACCATAACAAATCAGATCAATTTTTTAATTCTTCAGCAAACTTTCAATGTGTTTATTACCAGTTGATGGGATCAAAAATTAAAAATATACTATCTATCCCTCTGCACTGAGCTTGTTGGTTTCAGTTGGAGTAACATAGTGGTGAATTTGTCCAAAAATAAATGACCATTCCAGAAATAAAACAAACTAGACAGATGCACGAGTAGTAATGGGAATGATAATATGTAAATTATCTTGAGTGCAAATCTAATACTGGTGAGAGTGATATTATTGTTTACAATGCAGAATCAATTTCAAATTTATTAGCACTCATTAAATGGGTCATTCGTTTTGTTTCACACTTTTGTATGGTTTGTTAACAAAGAGTTGTTTAGTCCACTTTGCTCTCTTTACAAATTTGTTTTAGTTTATTAAACAGAAAGAGATGTCGTCAAAAGTTGTGATCAAAGTTGATGAAACTTGAAAATAAGCTTACTAATGCCATCGATCCGAACACTTCGTCTACCCATTCATTATCCGTTAACTAAACACTGGAAAAAATGTTACTAACCATCAGATATTTTCATTTCTTCCTTAAAATAATATAATTTTTAAAATTTGTATTCCCCACGTTATAGTATTAAAGCTTTTCCTAATGAGACAAAATCCTCCAGGGTTATTCGAAAGTTATAAGACTACTGATATTAGTTTTATCCATTGTTTTTAAAAATCCTTTTCAAAAAAAAAAATTAAATAACTCCTAGTTTGTGCACTTCTATGACATCCAACACTAAGAATAATTTAAAATAAACATAAAACTTATAAAATGACCTGATAGCTATTTCAGATCGAAATTCAAAGAATTTTTTCCCACAGCTAGGATGGGTTTGAAATTGATCCTGAAGAAACCAATCATTAAAACAATGAAATGCATTGATGAGAGCTGCGACACTATTAAAAAAGCAAATTTCAATATTAATGACATCAAAGAGATTGGGATCTGCAATCGGCGAGATTATTAATTGAGTTAATTAAGGTCGAATTTGATTCAACTGATAATTTACTTTCTAGATATCTCATTCGGCATAGTTTACTTCGCCTCAATCAACTTTACAACTTATTTATTAGTTTAAAAAAAAAGAAAAATTTACACAAAATATTCGAATCGATAGAGTTCAGTATGCTTAGTTTTTGGAGATAGCAATTTTATGGGACAATAAAAGGGACAAAGATCTTTACAATGCTACTATTAGTTGGCTGAATGATCGGACAACTGATCTTGTTAAATTATTTATTGGAAAAACAAGTAACAAATAATTTTTTCTATAATCCTGTAGACAACAAATACGTTAAATTTGTGAAAGAGAAAAAAGAGAAGAAACTGATTATTCCAAATTCTTAAATTCAAATTCGATATGACTGAAAGAGATAAAACATTCAATGGCTTGTCCCATGTTAATTTATCTACCACTAAGTTTATAGGAGAAAAATGAGAACGAAGAAAAAACTCTAATAGTTTTTCAGAATCTTTATTCTTCTTTAAAGAAAAAAAAACAAGTTACATTCCAATCTATGAGTTCAAGATTTTATTAAACACAAATCACTTTTCGAAAATCAAAAAAAAAAAACTTTTGAATTCTTTTTTCCACTTTGCAGATCCGAGAAAGAATTTAGAGAAATAACGGACCTTCCGATATATTCATATTTAAAACCCTGAAAATTCGTTGCCTTCTAGATAGTATTGATAAAGTGGAAGATCCTTTGAAGCAAGGTATGCTTCCTTCTTTTCTAGAAATTAATTTTTTTTTTTGAAAAAAAAGGTTATGAAACTGTAATTAGCCAAATTTGTTATACCAAGAAGAAAAGGTATTCCAGCTTCTCTAGCAACAAAAAAGTTTCTATAAGTAGCAGTTATTGTTGGAAGGTAATATAGTAGTTATTTCAGGCTTTCTAATTTTCCATTGCATATTTGGCCAGTTACAAGGACAGTTGTAATTCTGTGCCAATTCTAATGAAAGAATTTTCCTTTGAATCCAACTTTTCGGAATTAATTTCAGTTAAGTAATTCAATAAATAATATTACTATCGATTATTCAAAAACTTCAAAAAATTATTTTTTATTAAATGTCTTTTCTGGATAGTTTGAAAGTTTGTTATTTAGAAACTCAGTCATTTAAAGTTTATATTATTAAACTAAAATGCTAAATTATTTAAACACAACTAACAATTTCTGAAAATGACGCAATTAACGATTTTTTTTTCTGATTTTGGGGATGAATGATTTATGTTAAGGAACGTTAATGTTTGGTACCATGGATTCTTGGCTAATTTATAAGTTGACCGGAGAACGCGTTACTGATGTTGCAAATGCCAGTTGGACTTCGTATATGTTAATTAAACGTTATTCCTTCGAAATCTCAATGTAGCATTTTGCCGAAAATTCATTCTTCTGCCGAAGTATACACTACAAGAAACACAAGTTTTAATAATTTCAAGAGAAAGATTCAGAAAAGCAAATGATCAGATTAGGTTGAAAGTGACAAATGAGGTTATCTCCTGAACTCTCGACATTGCATACTTGGGAATGAATATCCTTTTTTGTTTGATCTTATCAGCAATGAGGAAAAAAGCGAAACTTTTTCAAGAATTAATTAAATTAATAGAAATAGTGGTAATGCAAAACAGTCAGAGAAATCATATCCGTTTCGATCTATGCAATTCGAAAAGTCTTTTTCGGGATCCCAATTAAGCATTATATTTTCATTTTCATTAGTCAAACTCTGTGAATGGTAATTATTTTTACAATTTAGGTTCTCTCAATGGAATATCAATATCGGGTTGTTTAGGTGACCAACAAGCTGCTATGTTAGGTGAGTGCTGTTTTGAACCAGTAAAACAAAATGTACCTATTGTACAGGTACATTTATGCTTACTAATATTAGCAACAATATGATTGTTAGCAGAAGTGGCATGATAACAATAATGACTTATCAGCTATGTATTTCTTGGTTATATTTACGTATTACTGTAAAGAAAAGAGATAAAGAATCAACAAGTACTGATATACTACAAGGGAACAAAGGTCGAAAATGAACTGGGGGGAAAAAAAGAAAGAATAAAGAAGTTAATGATAGTAGAGTTTGATTTGGAAGGAAAAGTTTGCTATGTACTGAAACATTTCGGTTCGATTGATGGGAATGTCTTTTGTGATAATTTACAACTTATCAGCGATTTCATATCATATTTATGCTCTTTTTCATGGAAATGTTATAAAAGTTATACATGCATAGTAAGAATAGTTTCATCAATTCATTTTTTTTTCAAATTTGTCAATGAATAGTTGAAGTGAAAATATATTGGTGCTAGAAGACTTCATCGTGTTCATTATGATTTCCAGAAAGAGATCATTGAATTTTACAGGATGTATTCTGGCCCTCAGATTCAGTACCAGGAACAGATGGTGCCATATTTGTATTTTGTTTTACCGGTCATATTTGGACTCAACGACATGTGACATCATTCTTCAAGCTCTTTTCACATAATTGAAGTCCTTAAAGTTTGTTCTTTCTATTACATTATAAATTTCTGTATTAAAATCATTTCTATTGAAGAAAAAATGTAGAATATTTTCCTTCGAGCAAAATATAGTAATTGTAATTTTTAGGTTGACAATGGTATAACTATAAATTCATTATTCTTGCAATTACTAAATGATATCTTTGGAATAGAATGTGATCAGATCACTTAATACCGAATTCTATTTCTTCTTGGGATGCTTCAATAATAACTGAAATTATCACGTTTAATTATAATAAATTAAATATATAAAAGGATTGCATAAGTAGGAGAGTTTGAAAGTTTTTTCTTTAAATTACTATGTAATCCAAAAAATTTAATTTCATGACTGCAAAAAGTTATCGAAATGAGTCGAATGAAGGAAAATTTGCAACTTCTATCCATAAGCAACCTCAGTTGTCGTTTGAAGATATATTTCAGGTTATGAAGTTTGTGTCAAGTTCTCAGCAATAAATGAAGTACTTTGATAAGACAGTTAATAAAGCACGAATTGCATAGGTAAATTTGTATAGGTAAATAGGTAAAAATTGTATAGCAATTTATATAGCGTTGGTGTAAAAATGGACTAAAAGTTAACTAATTTAAACAATATTACAAATCCAAAAGTTCACTCCTAACATTTGTAAGTAATTTTTCTAATTTCGAAGAAGTTCGAAGATATCATATAAAAGATGGAATTAACAAAAAGCAAATTTAAGTAACAATCAACGTCAACTGTTTATTCATCAGTAGAAAAAAGAATTAGTCGAGCAATAGGATGGCTTCTAGATGAATAATCACAGTGAATTTATGAAATGTTTAGTAGTAAGAGAAAAGCAGAAATGACTGTAAAATTTATTTCTTCCTGGTAATTGAAAAGACTATTTTACATATAAAATTCAATCATATTAATTGTAATTTTGTAATTTCAGCGATTTTTCCAGCTAGTACTATTTGTTTTCATAATTCAATATCAAATCTTGCTGGCATATTATGCATACACAAAGTAAACAAAAATTAAATGCTTCCTGATTTTTTGTAAAATTTAAGTAAAAGTCGGATCAAATTCAAGTTAATTTGAAGTAAGTGAATTTCTATTTGAGAAAGTGTTGCTGTTGAAAAATGAATATTTAAAAGGCGCTATGTTAATTAACAATTTTGAATAGATTTTTTAAAAAAGAAGCTGTGAAGATGATAAACAATGATCCATTCTTGCCTAATTTGTTTGATTCTTTTTAGTAATTTATTTACAAGTTAATCTAACTTCCTTATAAATTTTATCATCACAACAATATGTTATCATAGAAGTTTCATTTCATTACTCAAACAATACACCAGAATTAAATTTGAAATTCCCCAATGTGATTTGGCGGCAGTAACAGTTAAGAATCTTCACTGATTCACTGTTAATCAGATGGATATAAAATATCAACCCAAACTGTCACCAAATCGGACATTAATACAAATGAAATCATTGTAGCGATTTTCAGCTGTTTAGTGTTGCTCCTTTTAATATTTTTAATAAAAACAAATTTTTAACGATGACAAACATTTATAGTAAATAATGATGAATTAGTATGTGAAAGAAATACCTGTGATAGAGCCTCTTCAATCGACTAATTATATTTTCGCTTTTTTTTTTTGAACTTTTTCAATCAAAAATTATTGCCTAAATTATTGTTGACTAATTATCCGTCGCATTTGGAGTGATATTTAAAGGTACGCGGGTCTCAGATTTCAAGAAAAATCTGAGATAATGTCAAAACTCTCCTCTTGGCGTACTTCTGTATTGTTCAATTGGAACTCCCTTAAAATTCTGCTGTGCATAATATAAGAATTCAACAGTTTATTCCTAAGAAAGCTTGCATTTAATTTAAAACAATTTAAAAATTACAATTTAGAGTGAAAAATACCATATTGCTAAAGATCTAAAATAAGTTCTCTTATCTTAAGGATTCACCGTTTGTCGTTTGTTATGGGACAACAAAAGCAGATGGACCTACAAGAAAATAATGAAAGAGCAGAATACGTCAGTGAAATCAACGGCATACAATTTCAAACACTGGTGGAGACCAGTGATAACTACAAGGGGATCTGGAACGAAGGTATACAATTTAGAAACTAAAGGATATCTGCCGACTGATGCTATGGAACAGATCAAAATTTAATTCCTGGCTGGATTTGTAATAATTAATTCTATGATTGATGAGTGTAAAATAAAAGTAGCTAGAATCATCTTAAAATTCAATCCCTGTCATCAAATTTATACAGCTTATCATTAGAGTGTGTGCTATCTTCAAACAAACTAGAAAAAATGCGCTATTGAAGTTATGCTAACATGAAAACTACCATGGGTAATCCGTTTGTGCTCGAAATTTGATTTTCAAATACTACTTCACAGGAAATTTTAATTGATTCAAAAAGGCACAAGAGCAGAGAGAAAAGAAGTATATTGAAGAATCAAGCAGATAACACAACAAAAACAGTTAGAAAGAAATCGAGAGTTATGAGCAACCTAAACTGAATGGAATGTTAAAAAATAATTAACCAAATCCGAAAAGATAAAGTTTCATACTATACTTCTATTCATGCTTATTGTTTTTTCCAAAAAAGCACATTTGGCGTATTATATGCTACCAATTCAAAAGCACAACAATATCAAACAGTGAACTGGTAATATGTCCTCGCGATAGAAATGCCAACCGGATGTATCCAGAAATATCAAAATGTTATTGCCCGCATGTTTGTAGCATGGTTTTCTGAATAATCGCTTTTCCAGAACTTCCCAATGCTGAATTCCTTTTCCAAATGAAATAAAAATAAAAAAAGACAAAATCGAGAAGGCGGAAGCGAGGGGAGAATACATGAGGTATGCCAAGAGGCAGTGAAATAAAAGTTACTGAAAGCCATTCCCTTCTTTTCCAAAAATACCCCACAGATCGTTCATGAAATTTTAAGAAAATTTGCCTTATTTTAGATATGGAGTGCGTTTAATGTTAATGTTCTTCAACTTACGACAACCTCAGCAGCACCATTCAAATAAAAACGATCTCATGACGGCTCTCTGACCGAAATCTTTTTAGCAACACCGGCTTTTCATGAAATTAATTTCTGCAACAACGAATTATACAGACAAACAGATATAATTAATCAAATTTCCAAAGATTAAAATATTTAGCAAATATAAAGCGCAATATGAATGGCAGTAATAATAACAACATGAATAATGAAATGACATGAAAAGTGCTGCAATATCTAAAGTGAAAAAGTAGAAAAGAAATATTTTTAATCTTCCTTCGAAAATCAGTGGAATCCTCAGAGAACATAAAACATTGATCATAATGTAGCTAAAGAGATGAAGAGGTAAAGACAGGACAAGAGAATTCTCCTTAAAAGCTTTTCTTCTCTCATTTAAATTGAGTCAGTCAAATATCTAGGAAAAAGGAATACTTCTGATGAACTATACAGTAAGATACGAAAAAATGGCATAAAGTTCTTATAAACTATAAATGTATATTTTTAGATCGCGAAACGGTCTTTGACCTTCTACCATGAGAAGTACTACTACCACTTTCAGTATTGGGATAGTAACGCTTTTCATATTTTGGTGATGGTATCCTTGATTCCTGCCGCTGCTGTTGCAGTTCCATCAAAGATGATGGTAGCATTATAGGCCGCTCAGTACTTGGCAAGTTTCGACTGTACGCATGTGGCACATTACGACGGTACAGCGGTGCTGATCTACTTGAAACAATAGCAACTTCGCTAGAATCCTGAAACTGTGTTAGTTAAAGAAAAGACTGAATTATAGATAAATAATTTTGAATTTATTTGGAAGAAATGATAGGCAAAAAAAGCACAAAAGTGCAAAAAGGACAAGACATTTGCTCGCAAGATCTATTGTAGAATTATGAAGTTTCTGTATAGCTTTAATGTAATCATGCAAAAAAAAATACTACAGGAGAGTTTCTCAATATCGAATACATATGTGATTTATGATTCTAGTCAGGACTAGAAGATAAAGGAAATTATTGAGATGTGATGAACTGAACTGGCTGTCTCGCTATGAAAAATTAATGGGAATTTCATAAAACATACTCGTTCTTTGTTAGCACTCTCAACGATCCGATTAGGACGTACGTAATGAGTACGCCAAGAACGTCGACGAACGATACCACCAACTATCCGAGATGTTGGGGACATTGCTGGTTGTGTTGGAGGAAGTTGTCCTGATGTACTAGGTGAAGATGAGGCGATTGCTCCTTTGCATGCTTTCTACAAAAGTACGAAACAATGATGATGGTATGACTATGTTTTTGGATCTTTGGTGATGATAACTGGAAATTGTGTAATAATTGATGGAAAACAATTAATCAGCTTTTTTTTCAACTTAACAAAACACCTAAAAAGAACTAAGTTCATTTAGTACGTCTTATTTTTACATGATACTTACCGACAAAGGTAGTTTTCGAGTAATATTTATACGGCATTCATCAACATTATCCAGACTTCCCGTGCGTCCGTCAGATGAACCCATTAAGTCATCAGATTGCGAATACGGTTGAAGTATGCTAGTGGAGGAGATTTCGGAAGCATTTAACTGTGATGTATCACTACCTTTTGCTGATGATGCAGGCAAAAGGAACCTAAAAAGGAAGCAATTAATTTCACTTTCATGAAAATAGAGGAAACACTTGAAAGTCGAATTCATAGGAATTCGAGGATATGCGCACTGTATTACTTTTAATGGATCTCTGGATTTAATGTAATATATATTTTATGGAACAATATGACTATTTCTATTCTACGCCTAAATAATTATTAAGTGTTCGAGAGTTACGGAAAAAAGCGTACTAACCATTCAGACCGTGTACGCATACGTCTTGTTTGCCTTTCATGTACCCATTCAAGGTAGGTAAGTGAATGAGTACTTTCTAATAATTCACTACCATGAAATGCATTCAAAGAATATTTCTCATCATCATCACTGTGCGGAAGTTGTACCTTAAACTAGCATGAAATAATATCAAAGAACAAAGAAATTACTCCCGAAGCAAAACTATGACTAAGTGAAGAAAAAAAAAATCTGGAGGAAACCAGAATTGTCTCACTGAATAAAGCAAGAATGAACAACTTTAAGAGTACTTAATTGAAATTGAACGAAACTGCAATTGAAATCTTAGGAATAGTCTTGTACTATTTGATGGGAATCCTAGCCCATTTCCAAAAACGAAAATTTCTATAGGAAAAAAATTTTTTGTTAAGAATCAAGATAAAAGGGCTAATAAACAAAATTAAATGTGAAAACTTTGAAGCTAATGTAACTTCATGACTATTTATCCATGAAGAGCTATGGAAGAGAATTTAGTCTGTCTTTCAAAAGCAAAATTTCTTTGAATCTAATCGATAAATAAGACAAAATATACCTCTGCAGCTGAGCTACTTAACCGTTTGCATGTCAGCTCATGACCCGTTGATTGCGCTTGTCGATGGGAGCAGCGTGGATAACCCCAGTCCATTGCCCCTCTGTCATTAGTGGCATCAGCATTAACGAGTATCACGTCAGGTTGACTGTACGATCCCGGCAAAACTATTAAATGAAAGATTGTTAGTTTAAGTGAATTTGTACAACTTTGAAATATTATTTGTTTGCTTTAAAATATGATAGAAAAGAAATTGCAGTTTGTTTTTAGGCTTCGATTTTTTTTCAAAGTAGCACATTCAATATCTACCAAAGGTAAAAGCATTCTATTTCCCGGTATAGAGGAAGAACAAACTCAATGGAAACTAATAGAGAGTTACAGTTTTAAATTTCCCTACTAACTGATCAGTAATTGACATATTCACATGTCACACAATTATATTGTCAAATCCACATATTCAGAGCGAATAAACAAACTTCTCGTACTACGCAAGACGAACGTTTTCGTCGAGTAATAGGCTTGGTTTCAATCTTTTTTCTCGTCTCACCTGCACTTCCTATTCTTGGTCCTCATTATATCCTTATATATATATATATATATATATATATATATATATATATATATATATATATATATATATATA